GACAGTTTTCTGAAATCTCTAAATGGGCCAGTTTCATTACCCCTGTGCTTGTGAATACATCTTCATGAATACAATATTTTTTTTTAAAGATTTTTATTTATTTATTCATGAGAGACAGAGAGAGAGAGAGAGGCAGAGGGAGAAGCAGGCTCCCAAGGAGCAGAGAGCCCGATGTGGGACTCGATCCCAGGACCCTGGGATCATGACCTGAGCCGAAGGCAGACGCTTAACCATCTGAGCCACCCAGGCGCCCTCATGAATACAATATTAAAATGAATTTGGGCCGCCTGGCTGGCTCAGTTAGTAGAGCCTCTGACCTTTGATCTCGGGGTTGTGAGTTCAAGCCCCCCATCGGGTACAGAGATTACTTAAAATCTTTTTTTAAAAAATCCATTTTATTTCTCCATGAATTGCTTTGAAGTTTATGAAATATATGCATTATATGCTCTGTATATGCACATATACATAACACGCATATGTATGTGAGTATACACAAAGAAATGGGTTCAACATGTGAATGTCATCCTTCAGAGATTTTTGGTGGGGACAAAACATGAGAAGCACCTGTCCCTGGTGAGCCCACCAGCAAGTATGTCCAAAGAAGTCTAGCCACAAAAGATACAAATACAGGGTGAGTGCCAGGAATATACTCATTCGCAAGGTCTCTACGAGACAGGCAACAAGCCATAGGTATTCTTAAAGAAGAGCTCACAGACTAACTCCCTGAATTCATCAAGGTATTAATGGCCTTTTGATTACCTACCTCTGGTTAACTGACTTAAAAACCAGAGAGAAAATCTTCGGTGTCCCAGGCATAAGGTAGATGAGCTCCCCAAGAAGGACTGAGATCAGATCGACGATGTAGGACCCCCTGGGCAAGGTTCCATCAGCCTCAGGGAGAAACTGGAGGCCACAAGATACTTCTATACTTAGAGGGCAAAGCTGAGACATGGCCTGGCTCAGCGAGTGCAGAGCATCCTTATTTTTAGTAATTGAGCCTACTAAAAACAATTAATCCTAGGGAAGGTGATAAAGTAGAAATAACCATCATATTTTATAAAAATAAATTTGTCGTAGTTTGGGAGTATTGGGGTGGAGGGATGCAGGGAAAGGATAAAAACCAAAACAGAACCAAAAAACTATCCCTGTAAGTCAGAGGAAGAACGAATGGCAGAAGACACATCCATTAGGAAGAACGTGGTGTCAAAGAGCAGAAAGTCAAAATGCTAATTTAACCCAAATGCGTAAGAATTGTATAAAGTAGGCGGCCTGCAGTATTGCTGGATATTGAGGAACGTGTGTTGAAACCTGTGAGCAAGGTGCAAACGAAACCTTATTTATTGCTCACTTCAAATAACCTAAACCCAGATGACTAAAAGGACTCTCAGATGGTTACTTAACCCTAGTTTCTGGGGTGCCTGGGTGGCTCAGTCGGTTAAGCGTTTGCCTTGGGCTCAGGTCATGATCCCAGGTTGCTGGGATCGAGCCCCACGTTGGGATCTCTGAGGGAGCCTGCTTCTCCCTCTCCCTGCCACTCCCCCTGCTTGTACTCTGTCAAATAAATAAATAATATCTTAAAAAAAAAAACAACCCTAGTTTCTGAATCCCAGCAAGACAGAACCCGAGTTACTCCATGCAAACAACTGTCCACCCATTTAAAGACCCATCGGCCAGGTGGGGCTTGATCCTGCGGGAGCTGTGCGGGGACCTGACCCAGGGCCCGAGCACATGCCCACACAGGGGACGAGAAAACTCGGGTCTGAGGGAATTTACAGAAGGTTTTCAACAGGTTGTTGGGTGGGGGGGTGGCTGGAGGTCAGTACTCTGGAGGACTGTCAAAACTCCTTGCCCCAGGAGGCAAAGCTCAGGGAAGAAAGTATGAAGAAGAAACAGCAATCGGCCATTTTAACTTTGGCAGAGTTTTATCATCAATAATAAGGGAATTTCAACTGGGAGTTTACAGAATTTATCAAGACCGGTCTGTTCACCAATCTCCAGCCCTGAGGGCATTATGACATTATAAAGCAACTATCTCACTAATATGGCCAGGGTTGCCAGGGTGGTTTTTTCATGGTGGGGAGGAGGACTGAGGGGCAAGAGAAGGTAACATGCAGTCACTATGGGGGTGGAATCCAGACAACGGGGTGGCTAAAAACACCAGCGTGTCGTTTCGAGACTACAAGACGATACTCCTCACCACCACAATCACAAACCGTTTTTCTGGTCCAGAGAGGGCAGAAATGAAAATCAGGCCCTCCTTCCCTAGCAGATAAAGCAAAAAACTAATGCGAACCCCCGAACATCACCCGTCCATGCCATCTGCGTTGTACTGACCACTCCATGGAGCCTCTTCTGTCACAACTCACTTCTCTAATACAGGGAAAAATTACTCCAAAGTGATCACCTAGTTTGGGAGACCAAGAATAAGATGATACGCCTTCAGTATCCTATTCTTAGCCATTTCAGTGTAGAGAACAGGCAGCTTCCACGAAAGAATTTTATGGAAAATATGCTCCCAGTTAAAAACAAAAACAAAAGCAACTTAGCAGGGTGTTCCCTCAACACTGGAAAATTCTATTCCTCAAGACCTGGCTTCAAGTTTCACAAAAAAACATCCCTAAGTATACCCCAGGCAGAACTCTTCCTTCTCTGAATAATGAGGGCTCTTATACTCCCAGCCAGGCAATTCTGCACCAAATTATATGCGATTCTGTACTGTTTGCTAAAATTATATATGGTCTTGTGCTGTCTGCTAATTGTTTCATGTGTACAAATGCCTTTTCTTCCCCAATAAAATGCATAAATTACTTAAGAAGAAGGCTTAATTTTATTCTTCAATTGTCTGTTACTCCTGAGCATCGAGAGACGGCTAATGCACACGCCTGAGAAACCTCCCCTAGGGAAGGGGGACTTGGACAGAGAGCTGTGGGCTTTCTATGGGTGGGGATACCACCCCATCCCTTCACCAGCCCCCCGTGACTCTCATCCAGCCTACTGCCAGCTCAAAGTCCTGTACCCCTACCCACCACGAGTCCTCACTAGTCCTTGGCAGGCCCCGCTGCCTGGCACCCTCCCACCACTGCTCTCGAGAGGCAGAAGTAGCTCACACAAGACCATACAACTCGGCTGGTGCCCTCATTTAATCAGGCTGCTGCGAATGGTTGGCCAAAAGCAATAAGGGCATGACTGAAAGACTGTGGGAGTTTAATATAAAAAAATTAATAAAAAAAAAGGGGGAAGGAGAAAGGGTCTACCTTTTAATAGGGCCCTAATTACCCAACTCATAGGATCAGCCCAAATGAGATGGGAGTTTATTTCGGGGGTTTTTTTTTAATTATTGTTTTTTTTATATATATATAAATTGCTGCTATGTGTTTTCTTTCCTCTGAGCAATTATGTAGCAAGTACGTAAAGAGGGGGAAAAATATTAATTAAATATAAGGTAATTGTAGAGTTGGCCTGGAGAGAGTGAGTCTGAACTCTGGACAATCACAGGCTACTAGGGCTTGAAGACTGCTCGGGGCCTCCCAGAAAAGAAAGAAATGAAAATACAACCAAACAACACGCAGATGCAGAGTACAGCAGGAAAAGAGCAGCATCCAGAAATGTCAGCAGAGCAAAGGGGCTGCAGGGCTCCAAATACCAGAAATCAGCAAGGCTGCCGTTGCTTAGGGCTCGCTGCCCTAAGAACCCCCAAGAGTTTACCCAGTCATGCTGCAAAAGAAGGACCAGTCAGCTCGGCCGGGGATCAGCAGTAAAGTCAGTAGATAAAAATGTAAAAGGAGACCAAGGAGGTAAAGGGCTGCAGAGGACTACAGCGTTCAATTTGGACTTCAGTCCAAAACCAACCACAACTCCAGCCTGCAGGGCACTGACAGGCCCCAGGGGAACACTCCAGCTCCCTCGCTAAGGGCCTGGCAAAGCAAAGCCCTTCTGAAGCCTCTGGCTTTCCCACCACCCTGACCTCCAGGACAAACCCGGGCAATACCAAGAGTGAAACGAAGCCACTGTGGGGTGTGGTGGGAAGGGAGCTGGACTTGGTAACACTTGGTAACAGTGGGTGTCACAGAAGACAACCACACTTTCCTGAAACAGCCCCAGCAGGGCTTGCATCACCCTGGTCTTTCAGCCTCAGCCAAATCCAACTCACCTTCTGCCTTGGAAAGCCTGAGTTCGGGCTAGAATTCAGGCCTGTTCACGCCAGCTAAGGACCTCACATCACCTCCTCCCACTACTACTGGAGGAGAGGCAAGAAAACCAAGCCTGCGAAACCAAAACTGGGCGGTGCATCCCTGAGCTTACTATCACCATCCAAACAAAGACAAAGCTCTAAAAGCTGCCCTTCCATAAAACTTATCTGGTTAGTACAGAACAAGTCTTGCTACTCAACAAACAGAATTTGCAGTAGGCCCTGAAATGCAAGCTAGGATGAAAATGGGGGGGTGCTGGCAGGGACTGGGGCTCACACCACCAAAGCAAAAGCGCTTCGTGAAGAAAGTTACGTTCAGTACTCAGGAGGCCGCTGCCCTGTCAATACTAGAAGCAGGTAATGTTGGTACGAGGCATCACAAATTACCGACCAGGCAAAAACAGAACTCCCTGCCTTACCTGTTCCTCAAAGGCCACCTGACAGCGCTCTCACCCTGAAGGGCAAAATGGCTATTTCAGACAATCAAGTAGCAACTTGTTCCCAACCCCACCTCCAAAGGGTTCAGGCATCCCACTGATTACTACTGATCAGCAACAAACAAAGCAGTGCATCAAGCCCTGAGGCAGATGCTCTCTGTTTCAGAAAAGACCAGGCTTTACTAAGGAGGGAGCCCACTAACCCTGCATGCCAGAAAAGAAGTCAGAAGTCAAAGGTCACTAAGTTAGTCTCCACACAGCACCTACTTCTGAAGAGACACTAATGATGCAAAACTATAGGATCCTAGGATTTCTCCACACTCACACAGTATTTTAATGATTAGAAAATGATACTCTATATCTTGGGTACTTACCAGAGGCTCTCGAGGCACCACATTTTCACTTCCTGGAGTAGAGCTTGGCTGCAAAGAAAAACAGAAACAAAAATAAGATCACAGTGCCACCCAATGGACATCAAAAAACCAAAGACACTATATTCTCAAACAACACACACCAACACCTATTCCTCCTATTTCTCACCAGCTTCTCAGACTGTAGAGTGTTCCACGGTGGGCTGCCTGTAAGAAGTAGCCCACCCACGGAGTGTGAATTTGCCAGTCAACATGAAGAGACTGCTTCTGGATTCACTGCCATAGCACATCAAGGAGAAGGCTAGGTTTGGCTTAGGAGGGCCCGAGATCAGCAGCTGAGCAGCAAGGGCTGGGGACCATCACAAGATCCACAGGAATAGCAAAGTCCAGAGGAAAGGCTTCATGTGAGAGCAAAACTTCCCTTTTGCCATCTTCCCACCAACTGACGGGGGAAAAGCAGAGCCGAAGTGGAAAACCAGATCCAGCCACAAGGGGGCCCCAGGTGCCCACACTCTGGATTTTCTCCAGGCATCTACTTGGAGCCAGGAAGCAAAGAAACTATGGACACTGGTTCTGATTTATCACCTGTCACTGAGGACACCAATCCCCAGTAGTAAGGAAGCTTGAATCTGTTGTGTAAATAAGCCAGTGACAGGCCGAAAGACCAACCAGCGGGCAGGGAGCGTGTGGCCCACTCGCCTGGCTCCAGTCTGTCACCCTCTCCTCTCTCTGGAGCTCACATTTGCCTTCAACCCTTGGCTGATGATCTGGCCAAATTTAGAGAAAGGGAGAGACAGAGATAGACAGACTCGGAGGAAACTCACAAATCTCCAAAAGAATAGAACAAGCAGTTTGAGAGAATTATGATTAGTTTACTGTTACTGATATTCAAGCCAATTTCCAATTATCTACAGATAATATCCAGACAAGTGCAGCTAATCTGTGGGTCTCTGGAACCAGCCTCCAGCCTCCACACTCCTCCCAGTTTGTTCAGATAGCAAGTGCCAGGCCTCCGGGGCCGGGGGTGGGGGGGACAAAGAAGGTGGGAGAGGAAAGAGTCCAGTCCACGAAGGGTCCCCAAAGATCTCCTCATGCCCCGATGCCCCCGCACGGATGGCACACAGCACAGTGACAAGGACTCTGCTGGGAGAAGGACTCTATCTCCTCATCTAAAGTCCCAGGACAAGGTCAGCCTGCACGAAACCAAGTGGAAAGTCTCAGGGAATCTGAGCTCGTGTTCCCTCCTCCCTTCCCCCGCCCTGCTCGCTCCCTCCTAAGGCTCCCAGCAGGCAGCAGGCAGCAGGCAGCAGGCAGCAGGCAGCAGTGAGGGGCAGCAGGGATAACCTCCCGCATTTAGATCTCTAGCCCAGATCCCCCTCAGAGTTCTCCATCCAGCCGCCTTCCATCTTCCTCTGGACTCAACAGGTTCCTCGGCAGATTCATAATCCCCTCCCGCGGCCACACATGTCTTCTTCCACTGTTCCCTGTCTGCAAGAATGGCACAACCTTCCACCAAAATATACAAACCGGAGTCCAAAGGACCATTCTGGACAACTCTTTCTCTCCCACTCACCAGAGCTAACACATTATCAAGTCCTGCCAACATTCCTTCCTAAATATCCATGTAATCAGTCCATCCACTTCTCTCCACTTCTACTGCCATCACTTGGGTCAAAGCTTCCAAAAACTCCTCTCTGGACCACTGCCAAGAGCCTTCGCATCGGTTCACCCACATCCATGCTGGCTTTCTTCTAATTCATTTTCCACACTGCAAACAGACTATCATTTCAAAACGGTAGTAATCAGATCTCACCCCTGCCCACCCCAGTAAACCACTACAACAACAGCTCTAATACAGAAAACACAAGGCCTTGCATCCACTGACTGTAATTCAGGTGTGTGTGATGCCACACTGCCCGGCTCTGCCCACCTGACACCCGGGCCTTTGCACATGCTATCCCTGCCCACACCTCTGACAGTTTAACTCGTCCTTCAGATTTCAGCTATGTCACTTCTTTGAGGAAGCATTTCTTCTCTAACATCCCAAATAGGGTGAATTCTCCCTAATATATACTAACACCATCCATCTCTCTTTCAAGGACTGAGCAGAACTGCAACTTTACTTGTGCGATTATCTGACTGAGGTCTGTGTCCCTCACCAGATTACGAACTCCACAGGGGCAGAAACTGTGTGCTTATTACTGCATCCCTGGGGCTTAGGACAGTATCAGGCACAGATCAGGCCTTCCACAGATAGCTGCTGAATGAATGAAAGGCAACAACGAATTAAACAATGGTTCTTACTCAACTGAATGGATTATAGACTCAAGTTCATTATCTTCCCGAGGGCTTCCTTCACTCCACTTGGCAAATACGAAATGCTAACATTTATCTAGCTCTTTTTCATTTAGTTCTACAATAAATGTCTGAAATTATTGCTGATGAGAAACTGAGGCAAAGGAGGTTAAATAATGTGCCTGTGATGACTCAGCCAGTAACTGGGACTAAAGGGATTTGAAACATTCTACTTAAAATCATAGAGTTCTAGACCACATTTCATTAAGCAACACTCTTAATGCTACCCCTCAAATAATAATGTGGATTATTTGACTCAACAAAACTAACTCAAACAGCTTTAATACTTAGGAAGCCTCATTCTGACTTAACCCAAAATTCTCTTCTTCCTGAAATATAACTAATCAGTATGAATCATTATCACCAAGGAACTTCCCTTAAGATTAGTTCATCTCTTGAATAACCAGTATTTGCCCGAGGGAAAACAGTATATAGTACTAAGGAAGTCTCTTTCATCATATACCCTTTTGTACCTTTTTAAACTGTAAGCCACAAAAGTGAACTCTGCTTAAAAAATAAAATATTAAAATTTTTAAAAAGAAAGCTGCTCTCTCATTCCAACACTCCCCTCTTCCTTGGGGGACCCACCACTGATGCTGGTTCCTTATAGATTCTTCCAGGGACATTCAGAGCATTTAAGAACCCATACGCATGTGTATACCTCCATCAAGGAATCTGAATAGCGACACTCACCAAACTCAAGTCTTGACTTCCAGAGCCTTCCTCAGCACACCAAAGCCAGGACTCCACGCCCAGCCTCAGGGCTGCTAAGAGGAGCAAGATTTCCCCACACCCTGTTTGAACTCCCAGTGCTATTGAGGTCTGTCAGACTGTATCAGTGAGCTCACAGAGGACCTCTCACCAATCTCGTAATTGCCCAACACTGATTATATTCTAGATGATTCTCCAGCTCATTTTGGAAGATCTGCAGTCTAAAATGGACCATCCCCCATTTCTCATCTCAATGTTCTTTAGAAAGTGGTTTCTTGGGGCGCCTGGGTGGCTCAGTCCGTTAAGCGTCTGCCTTCGGCTCAGGTCATGATCCCAGAGTCCTGGGATCGAGCCCCGCATCGGGCTCCCTGCTCCGCGGGAAGGCTGCTTCTCCCTCTCCCACTCCCCCTGCTTGTGTTCCCTCTCTTGCTGTGTCTCTCTCTGTCAAATAAATAAACAAAATCTTAAAAAAAAAAAAAAAAAAGTGGTTTCTTAAAACAGCCTTCATCCTTACTACTCTCCACACTGATTTCCTTGATAATACCATCTGAAATAACTAGTTTATTACCCCACTAGATTTTTTTTTTTTAAGATTTTTATTTATTTATTTGAGAGAGAGAGCACATGAGAGGGGGAAGGGTCGGGAGGGTCAGAGGGAGAAGCAGACTTCCCCCCCCCCCCCAAGCAGGGAGCCCGATGTGGGACTCGATCCAGGGACTCCAGGATCATGACCTGAGCCGAAGGCAGTCGCTTAACCAACTGAGCCACCCAGGCGCCCACCCCACTAGATTTTAAGCTCCCTAAAGGCAGGCACTTTACCATCTTACTGAAGGCTGATCTTCGGCACTTAAAATAGCACTGGTACTAAATAAATATGATCTTAAGCTTTTTTTAACTAAAAAAAAATTAAAACAAAGCAATCACTTCATACACAAACGCATAAAGGAAGCAAGCAGAGGACCACAGCAGGATGTGTCCATCTTGGGACATTTCATCTACAACTTAACACAAACCTGGCCTACTCCCCAGTGCAGTGTTGTGGTCCAATGGTTCTCAACCCCAGAGCAGAATCACCCCCCCACAACACCCCCCAGAGGGGCATCTGAAACTGTCGGGGGGGGTTTCTGTGGTCACAATGACCAGGGGATCTCACTGGCATTTAGAAGGCAGAGGCCTGGGAGGCTCTATGTCCAGCACTGCATGCAGTGAAAAACTGTTTCTTCCAAACACCAACAGGACCCCTTGGAGAATGCTGACCATTCTGCTTCCTCATGCTGAGGGGAAGCACAGATTCCCATCATTAACATGCAGCATTAGGTGTCACTTCAAAGAAGGGCAAAGGTCTGAGCAGCCACTGCTTGTCAGAAGCTCAGTCCCCCAGCACGTGCGGGTCCGTCCAGCTCACCAGCCCAGCTTTTATGAAAGCCCAACACTTCTCAAACACCTGCCCCTGCATCAACCCCTTTTAAGTGGTCAAATCTATTTTCTGGCTTGAGACAAATCTCTACAAATTAAATTCCACCTTGATCCTGGAAATTTTGACAGGGCGGTTTTGACTTTAAAAATAATAATAACTTGGGCGCCTGGGTGGCTCAGTCGTTAAGCGTCTGCCTTCGGCTCAGGTCATGATCCCAGGGTTCTGGGATCAAGCCCCGTATCGGGCTCCCTGCTCAGTGGGAAGCCTGCTTCTCCCTCTCCCACTCCCCCTGCTTGTGTTCCCTCTCGCTGTGTCTCTCTCTGTCAAATAAATAAAATCTTTAAAAATAAATAAATAAAACGAAATAAAATAAAAAATAAAAAACAGACCAAAAAAGACCACAGTGGCAGAGAGAAATGCTCCCAGTTTGATAGGCACAAAGGTGCTCTCACTCCCGCTGCCCAGGCACTGACCTCCCCCAGCCAGAAGGTGTGCCCAAGTGCTGACCTTGAGGCACAGCAAAGACCAACGGCACACGCAGCTCAGGTCGGAGCACCTGGCTGAACAT